CTTCTTCTCCTCTTCACCAAGATGACACTTCCCCTTCATCTCCCTCCCTAGCCCAGCTTTCAAATCTTAACCAACTCAGACAGTGCAATATGACTTATAATGATCGTCTAATAATCCAAATTAGTATTTCTCCAGCTTCTAGGTCCAGTTTCTATAAAGCCTTTGAAAAGCTGTTCCAACAAATCTCAGCCAAGTCGCAATCCAAAATTATGGTCTCCTATAATGTTCATCCAATCCTGCTTCCTCTTCTTTCTTCTTTTCCTAATCTTTGGACATTTTAATCCACTGGGGATGGGGAAGCAGGCATCTTAATTCCCTTTCCTCAAACGAGATCATAGCTTGTGTTGTTCACCGTTTCCGGAGTTCATGAGATCCGCAGAGACGTGGGAACCCATCCTGACCCGTTGGGAACGGTTTGATAGAAAATTTAATATCCACCTGCACAAACATGGTGGAAGTCCCAGGTCTTAATAGTTTGGGCACCAATGTATGCGGAAGAATAGTATTAAATACAGAACTAAAGTCTACAAATAACAATCTCGCATAGTTCCCTTTCTTCTCCAAATGAGTCAGGACAGCATGTAAAGCCATTGCCACAGCATCCTCCGTGGATCTCTGCCTTTTTCAAAACATTTCATTATAATGGGTGTCAATGCCACAGGGCAAAAATCCTTCAGACTATCTTTGGGTTTTTTGGCAGGGGTATAGAATCATAGAGTTGGAAGAGACCACAAGGGCCATCGAGTCCAACCCCCTGCCAAGCAGGAAACACCATCAGAGCACTCCTGACATATGGTTGTCAAGCCTCTGCTTAAAGACCTCCAAAGTAGGAGACTCCACCACACTCCTTGGCAGCAAATTCCACTGTCAAACAGCTCTTACTGTCAGGAAGTTCTTCCTAATGTTTAGGTGGAATCTTCTTTCTTGTAGTTTGGATCCATTGCTCCGTGTCCGCTTCTCTGGAGCAGCAGAAAACAACCTTTCTCCCTCCTCTATGTGACATCCTTTTATATATTGGAACATGGCTATCATATCACCCCTTAACCTCCTCTTCTCCAGGCTAAACATGCCCAGCTCCCTTAGCCGTTCCTCATAAGGCATCGTTTCCAGGCCTTTGACCATTTTGGTTGCCCTCCTCTGGACACGTTCCGGTTTGTCAGTGTCCTCCTTGAACTGTGGTGCCCAGAATGATGGGAGTGGATTTCAGACAGGGTGGAACGGCTGCTTGGGCCAGAGACTGGTTAAAAATCTTCATAAAGATTCTTGCCAGTTGGTCCGAACAATCTCTTAGCACCCTGCTAGCCCCCCCATCCGGGCCCATAGCCTTCCTCGTGTTTGCCTCCTTTCATATTCACCTCACTTCTCCCTCTTCCACCCTGACAGCATTTCCTGTAGTTAGTGAGGCCAATAGCTCTGCCATCCCTGTTGGAGCCACAGTTGGTGTCACCTCAAATTGGGCAAAGAAAGTCTTCAACTCTCCCACCAAGGAAGCCATACTCTCTACCACTGATGTATTTCTCGATTTATAATCAGTCAGATGTTGAACTCCCTGCCACATTTGTCTAGTATCATTTCTTAGATGGTCCTCAATTTTTCCTCTGTACTCCGCTTTTGCTTTCCTGATACCCCTCTTCAAGTTCGCTCCTTCTATACCATACGGTACCCGGTACCCAGTTCTAAAAGCAGTTTCTGGCCTTCAAGAATCTCCTAACCTCTCCCATCATCCAGGGCTTTCTGTTCGGATACAACTTAACATACCTTTCCCTGGTGCATTTCCTGTGCCAAATCTAACACTGTTGATGTAGAAGTTTCTAGATCCTGATGGTCGAACATATTCCAATCGGTCTCCTGGAAACAGTCCTGCAACTGCTGAGAGGCTCCCTCAGGCCACACCGTAACCATCCGTGTTTGTAGCTGGCCTTGTTTCCTGAGGGGTGTGTACACTGGTGTCAGAAGCAGGGACACAGGATCTGAACCACCGAGGTGCGCCTCATATGCCCGTCTAATGTTCGTATACACCTTGTCAAGAGTATTTTCTCCCTTTATTGCACACTCAATGTGCTGGTGGGGTTTTGGGAGTACTGCCCTCACATCTGTGTGAGTGAAGTCCCCTGCAATAATCCGCACTGCCTCCGGGTATCTGCTCAATTTAGCATTGATGTTTTCATGCATACTACTCATGGCCCTGCAGGCATTTGCAGAAGGTGCAACATAAGAAAGCTGCAGAGATAGTGCAGGATAGTGCGCACCCCAGAAATGATCTCTTTCAGCTTCTGCCTTCTGGAAGAAGGTACAGGGATATAAAGACTAGGACTAGCCGCCTGAGAAACAGTTTCTATCTAAATGCGATTTTGGTTTTAAATGCAGTGTAAGGTAGTCTCTATGGAAGTATATTGTCTTTAATTATGGGGTATCAGAGTGTTTAGGGGGCTAACCAGTTTGGGATAGCTGGGATAGCAGGCTTGTTGGTTTTTGAATGTCTGATGTACATTTTTTTAATTTCGTATGGGACAATGACAATAAAGATCATCGTATTGTATTGAGACTCATCTGGAAAGTGCCATTTCATGTTCCTTTCCCCACTTGCCAGGAGTCTGAGCTCCATTTGGGGTTCATAGAATCATAGAGTTGGAAGAGACCACAAGGGCCATCGAGTCCAACCCCCTGCCAAGCAGGAAACACCATCAGAGCACTCCTGACATATGGTTGTCAAGCCTCTGCTTAAAGACCTCCAAAGGAGACTCCACCATACTCCTTGGCAGCAAATTCCACTGTCAAACAGCTCTTACTGTCAGGAAGTTCTTCCTAATGTTTAGGTGGAATCTTCTTTCTTGTAGTTTGGATCTATTGCTCCATGTCTGCTTCTCTGGAGCAGCAGAAAACAACCTTTCTCCCTCCTCTATGTGACATCCTTTTATATATTTGAACATGGCTATCATATCACCCCTTAACCTCCTCTTCTCCAGGCTAAACATGCCCAGCTCCCTTTGCCGTTCCTCATAAGGCATCGTTTCCAGGCCTTTGACCATTTTGGTTGCCCTCCTCTGGACACGTTCCAGTTTGTCAGTGTCCTTCTTGAACTGTGATGCCCAGAACTGGACACAGTACTCCAGGTGAGGTCTGACCAGAGCAGAATACAGTGGCACTATTACTTCCCTTGATCTAGATGCTATACTCCTATTGATGCAGCCCAGAATTGCATTGGCTTTTTTAGCTGCCGCGTCACACTGCCATTTAGCTGCTGTTCCTCCTTCCGCACCCCAAGGTTCCTCCAAGGCCTTGGGGAAGGAAACTGAGGCAGGCACTGCTTGCTCCCCAGGCCCTGCAGGGTTTTTAGGGGGGGGCTGTGTCTTCCTCTGGCCATGGCACCCCCAGAAAGCCTTGGAAGAAAGGCAGGAGACCCTCAGCAGAGAACAGCCAAGTCCAGTTCTTCTCCGCAATGGCTTCCTCTTCTGAGAGCTCCCTCTCTTTTTTGTCTGGGCTGGACTGGGAGGACCCCAGTTCAGCCAGTTACCTAGAGTCCCCCACTGCCTCCAGAGACCCTTTTCCCCGTGGCCTGCGGGTGGAGCCCTTCTCCTGGTGCTGAATCTTGGGGTGACCAAGGATTCTCGTCTGGGGGTCAAAGTCCCCTGAGGGAACCTTCCACCTCCGAGGGAATAAAGCCCTTACTACTACTACTACTACTACTACTACTACTACTGTTATTCTTCTGCTCCTTGGGCCTCTGAGACAGAGAGGGCCTTTCCCTCCTGGCCCTTTGGCAGATCCCCCAAGGCGGCTTGCCTGACATCCTCCGTGGGGCCAACATGGCGAGGAGAGAGGCTGCCCTGCGGAGGCCAAGCCATCATGGCAGGAAGGCGGCTGAGGACCCAAGGTGCCGCCCTCCTTCATCCGGGAGGAGAGACCCCGAGAGCGCGGGACCCCGAGGCCCACAGGGGAGCCATGGCGTCTCTGGGAAAAACAAAATGGCGTCCCCGCCTATTTCGGAAAAGGGCGGGAAACCCCTTCTCCTGGCCCTGCCGCCTCCTGGGCTCCTCCTGGGCCTGCCTGGCCATGGGGGGGGGATCCAGCTGCCCCAAATAATGGGGGGGAGAGAAACAGGAAGAGAAGGAAGGAGAAATGAAGGAGGACCTGGGAGGGGGAGCAGCCATGAGGGAAACTCAGGGGGAAAACTCCCTCAGGAAACTGGGCGAAGGAGAGGAGGAGGCCCAGGGGAATCTGAAAGGGGATTGGCCAGCTGTCCAATGGAGAGGCCTCTGATTGGTCCAGCCCTGCTCTGGGGCGGGAAATGGGTCTCCTGCCTCCAGGTGGTTCTGGGAGCCCCGGAGAAACTGGGTTTCTGGCAGGAAACTCGGGGAAAGGAAGGCCGGGGTCCCTCTGGCTCTGAGCCGGAGTCTGCTGCCCTCTCTCCACCATCCTGCTCTTCCCCTTCCTTTTTCATGCGCCCCCTCCTGCCCCCCCCGGGTGGCGTGTGCGTTTCCTTCCTCGCCTGAGACTCTTCCTCCTCCGTCTCTCTTCCTGGGGTGAGAAGCGGCTGCAGAAGCAGAAAAACCCGTATTTTGGGGAGAGGAGGGGTCTCCTGGCTGGGAAGCCCCTCCCTCCCCCCCTGAGCTGGAGGGTGTTTCTTGGGGGGGTGTCTGGAGGGAGCCATTTCTGAGCCCAAGGCACCTCCCGCCACTAGGCAGCCCTTCGCCTCTTCTCCCTCCCAGCCTTTCCTCGGGATGTTGGGGGAGGGGGAGAGCCGAGGTAACCCCCCCATGGACCCCCCCCCCGTCCCCCTTGCAGTTAGTCTGGTGGGGTGTGGGCTCCTTGGGGCAGAGGGAGGGAAGGGGGGCAGCCCCTAGGGCGCAGGCGCAGAAGCAGGAAAACTGCAGGGAGAGGGAAGGGAGGACTCGGCTTGGCAAGGGTTAAGAGGAGCAGAGCTGGATTCCTAGAGAGGGCAGGAAGTGAAGGGGGAGGGGGCGAGGTCCTCCAGAGCAGAAGCCCTTCCCTCCCCCCCCCTCCCTGCTTTCTTCTCTCTCCTTTGCAAAAGCCCCTCCTGGACTCGGGTGAGTCTCCTCTCTCCTCCCCCTGAGGGTGCAATGGGGAGAAGGGGGTCCCAGGGGGGCAGGGAGGATGAATGGGGGTCCCTTTTCAGATCATGCGCGGTGGGGGGTGACCCCCAAGTCAGGGAGCAGAGGGTCCTCCTTTGTCCTCTCTGCCAAGCCAGGGAGGGGCCACTTCGCAGGAAATATGCAGCTCTGCTCTTCCTCGGGATCCAGATGCTGCCTTCCTTTTTGGGGAGGGGGCTTTGGGTCAAGGAAATAAACCCCCTTCAGAGGGAGGGAAAAGTCACCTTTGGGAACAGAGGCTGCAGCCAGAGGGGAACATTCCCACGTGGGGGGAGCACAGGGAGAAGAAAAGCCCGTCTGCATCTTCACAACCGGACCACTTCCTGTGTCCCAGATGCAACAACACATATCTCTCCCCTTTTCAGGCTAAACAAGTAGATGAACTGCAGTGGTGCCCCGCAAGACAAATGCCTCGCAAGACGAAAAACTCGCTAGACGAAAGGGTTTTCCGTTTGTTTTTTTATATATATAAGATATTTATTAAGATTTTACAAGAAATAGACAAAAGTTCACAAAGAAAAATGAAAAGAAAAATACAATAATCAAAAAAGTAAAAACACATGATTAAAAGAAAAGAAAAATTTAAAAATAAGTCCATTTTTGTATCTTTTGGTTCATTTGCTAGTTTCGTTGACTTCCACCGGCCTCCCCTTTTTGTATTCCCATTTACATAATCAATTCAGCAAATCCTTGGCCTATTTCATTTATCTTAGCTCTATATCTTAACATATTTATAATTAAGTGTTTTCATCCTTTGTCAATCTATTTTTAACATATTCTTTTTAACTTTGTTGCTAACACCTCTTATTTTCAGTCCAACGTCAATTTAACATTCAATAATTTTACAATATTTCTGCAGATAGTCCTTGAATTTCTTCCAGTCTTCTTCCACCAACTCTTCTCCCAGGTCATGGATTCTGCCAGTCATTTCAGCCAATTCCATGAAGTCCATCAACTTCATCTGCCATTCTTCCAGAGTGGGTAGCTCTTGCGTCTTCCAATAATTGCTGGAGTCCTAGAGAGGACGGGAGGGGGAGGGGGCAAGGTCCTCCAGAGCAGAAGCCCCTCCCTCCCCCCTCCCTTCCTGCTTTCTTCTCTCTCCTTTGCAAAAGCCCCTCCTGGACTCGGGTGAGTCTCCTCTCTCTTCCCCCTGAGGGTGCAATGGGGAGAAGGGGGTCCCAGGGGGGCAGGGAGGGGGCATGGGGGTCCCTGCTCAGATCATGCGCGGTGGGGGGAGACCCCCAAGTCAGGGAGCAGAGGGTCCTCCCTTGTCCTCTCTGCCAAGCCAGGGAGGGGACCAGTTCGCAGGAAATATGCAGCTCTGCTCTTCCTTGGGATCCAGATGCTGCCTTCCTTTTGGGGGAGGGGGCTTTGGGTCAAGGAAATAAACCCCCTTCAGATGGAGAGACGGGTCACATTTGTGAACCGAGGCTGCAGCCAGACGGGAACATTCCCACGTGGGGGGAGCACAGGGAGGGGAAAAGCCCGTCAGCATCTGCAGCAGCACAACTGGACCACTTCCTCTGTCCCAGATGCAACAACAACAACTAATAATAATAATAGTAATAATAATAATAATAATTTATTATTTGTACCCCGCCCATCTGGCCGGGTTTCCCCAGCCACTCTGGGCGGCTTCCACAAAAACAAAAAAGACACTAATATGTCATACATTTAAAACTTCCCTGAGCAGGGCTGCCTTAAGATGTCTTCTGAATGTCAGGTAGTTGTTTATGTCTCTCTCCTGTCGCTCTCCACACCCACGGCTGGCGCTGTTACCTTCCAAGAACTGGATCTCACTCCCAAAGACACACTCTTCCATGGTCTCCTAAGACAGACGGATGCCAGCCAACCAACCATTCCCTCCCCTCCCCCTCCTGGTGCCCCTTGAAGTTGGCTTGAGGGCAGGGGGAGGGTCCACCCCACCAGATGAAGAGGGAGGAGCTCCTTCCATCTGGGAAATGGGAATGCTTGCAAAGATTTACTTGAAGATGAGTGGAATTCCCCCATTTACACAAAGATTAAAACCCATCATTTAAATACACAACAAAATTGTTTCAGAAAAGAACAGAGCAATGTGTAGAACAGTGTTTCCCAACCGGTGTTCCGCGGCACACTAGTGTGCCGCGAGACGTTGCCTGGTGTGCCGTGGGAGGGAGGTGGGCGAGTCGGGCGGCGAGAGGCGGGGCGGCGGCGGCATTTCCTGCTGGATGCAAATCCAAACATGGCGGGCGCCTCCCTCGCTCCTTTGTAGGCGGACCATCGAGAGAGAAAGAAAAGGAGGCGAAAGAGCGAGAGAAGGCGCCTGCGCGGAAAGAGGAGCGAGCAGTGCGCCTGCGCGCCGCGGCGCCCGAGTGCAGTGAAATTCCGTGAAGAGGGGAGGGGGGGCTGGAAAAGAGAGAAAGGAAAGATTTTTCATTTAAAAAAAAAAAAAAAGGAAGAGGGAAAGAAGAGAAAAAGCGGCAGAAGCTGAGGGGAAGGTTTCCGTGAGGGAGAGAGAGAGAGAAACGCGGGGCTGGCGGGACCCCTCCTCTTCCGCCACGCGTCGCCCGCCACCGCCTCAGAATCTCCTCAGGAGCGGCGGCGGCTGCTCCCCCTCGCCCCCTTCCTCCCCCCCAGCCCCCTCCCAACCCCCGGACGAGGGACGCGAGGCGGCACCGCTGAGAGGACGGGAAGGCCCCCGGCGGCGGGGTCGGCTCGAGCAAGGAGGGGCGAGCGCTAGCCGGCTGGCTCTAGCCCGGCAAGTGGAGGAGGAGGAGGAGGAGCACGCCGTCGCTTCCACAGCCGCCGCCCCACACTCCCCTCCCCGGGCACCGGCGGGGAGAATGACAGAGCTCCAGTCCGCGCTGCTACTGCGGAGACAGCTGGCAGGTCGGTCCGTCCGTCGGTCGGGGCAAAACACACCACAGCGCAGGCAGAGGCAGGCAGGCCCGTCTCTCCCTGCCCCCCCTCGGACCTGGCCGGCCTGGGGTTTGCACCCCAAACATTCATGTCCACCCCAGCTACACAAGCCACACCTTGCTCTCAGTTCGATCTGTCAAATAACTCACCTATCATTCACATAAAGAACCTAGTCTATCCTCAAACGTCAGAATGTACCTCCTCTCTAGCTTCCCCCACTTCATCTAGGCACTTTCAGCCCTTACTTAACCCACCCCAGCCTGCTTACTCTTCCTTCATTTGCTATAAAAACTAAATACAGAGAGAGACTGAGAGCTGTTGACGAAGAGCTACGTGTGTGTCTTTCTTCGATTCCAGCCAGAATATCAGCTTTGTGTTCAGCCAAACAGGCCCAGGTTGCGCACTGAATAAAGTATTTTATAATTTTTCATATTTCTGTTTACTTACTATTTCATAATAAAGTAATTATAAAATACCTTCTTTGTGTTTATTTGATTCCTATTAAAGAGAGTTACTTTATATATAGTCAATATAGGCACAGAGTTAATTTTTTAAACATTTTCTAATGGTGGTGTGCCTCGAGATTTTTTTCATGAAACAAGTGTGCCTTTGCCCAAAAAAGGTTGGGAAACACTGGTGTAGAAGATCATCTTTGTGCTCCCTTTTTCTCTTAGGGTCCAGTGTGCTTTGAAGACGTAGCTGTTCCTTTCACAGAGGAGGACTGGGCTTTGCTGGATCCTGACCAGAGAGCTCTGCAGAAGGAAGTCAAGGAGGAGAATCCTGGGATCGTGGCCTCTCTGGTAAGGCTCCCTGCTGGATCATGAGATCAGTTTTGAAATTCCATACAGATCTCTGTAGGACAAACCTCTTCTATTTTGAGGGAGCCCCATAGCGCCCCCTGCAGCATCTGAGATGTTAACACACCCACAACTCTCCATAGGAGATGCATCTCCTGTTCTGCCTGGGAATATTCTTCCACCAGTCCTGCCTTTTCCAACCAGGATGAGGCTGCTCTGAGCTGCCCAGGCCTCCTTCCATGTAGGCTTCAGAGATATTAAGGACATGGAGGTACATCCTGTCTAATTTTCTGTTTCCCTTTCTGCTTCTGTTTTTGGTTGAGCAAAGAAATGACTGAGCTTGGAAATGGAGCGGATTCCACGACTGAGCCAAATTAAATCCATCCCTGGAAAGAGCCAGGTTTTTCGAATCTCCGGTTCCCATAAATAAGTTAGATAATACCAGCCAAAAAAGGCAGTAACTCCCTTCCCTTTTTCCTCTTTCACAAGCATTCATTTGCATTGTTCAATCATTTCAGGCTCAATTTCTTCCTCGGGCTAGTATTATGATTATTATTACTATTAATGATAATAATACTGCCATATAACAGTAGATTCTAGGTGGTGAATTGGAAAGGAAGAAGAATGAAGACAATAAGAAAATCCTCACAATGGAGAAACCATATAAATATTCATTTTTTTATAAGATATTTATTAAAGTTTTCGATTTTATACAAACAAAGAGAAAAATGCAGAAAAAATAAAAAAGAAAAATATTAAAAACACATAAAGTTCACAACTTATTTTTTAATAACATATTTCCCTGACCTCCTCATACCTCCCCTTCTTGTTTTCTAGCTCAAATTATTTGTTCAGCAAATCCTTATCTCATAGCATTGTAGCTAAATAACACCTTATTTTCTATCCAATATCTTGTAACTTAAACTTTTACTTATAAAAAACCATTTTTTCATAACCTTTTATACCATTACAGCTAGAAACCACTTAATTTCAATCCAACATCATTCAACATTCCTTAATATTGCAGTATTTCTGTAAATAGTCCTTAAATTTCTTCCAATCTTCTTCTGCCAACTCTTCTCCCTGGTCGCGGATTCTGCCAGTCATTTCTGCCAATCCCATGCAGTCAATCACCTTCATCTGCCATTCTTCCAGAGTGGGTAAAACTTGCGTCTTCCAATACTTTGCAATGAGTATTCTTGCTGCTGTTGTAGCGTACATAAAGAAAGTTCTATCCTTTTTTAACACCAATTGGCCGACCATGCCCAAGAGAAAGGCCTCTGGTTTCTTCACAAAGGTATATTTAAATACCTTTTTCAATTCATTATAAATCATTTCCCAGAAAGCCTTAATCCTAGGGCACGTCCACCAAAGGTGAAAAAATGTACCTTCATTTTCTTTACATTTCCAACATTTATTATCGGGCAAATGGTAAATTTTTGCAAGCTTGACTGGGGTCATGTACCACCTGTATATCATTTTCATAATATTTTCTCTTAAGGCATTACATGCCGTAAATTTCATCCCAGTGGTCCACAACTGTTCCCAGTCAGCAAACATAATGTTATGTCCAACGTCTTGTGCCCATTTAATCATAGCAGATTTAACCGTCTCATCCTGAGTGTTCCATTTCAACAGGAAGTTATACATTTTTGACAAAATCTTAGTTTGGGGTTCTAACAATTCTGTTTCTAATTTAGATTTTTCCACCTGGAAGCCAATT